TTTCCAAAGAGAATTTATAGAAGAAAGGCTGCAGCCGTGGCTCTGGCTGAGCCATCCATGCACTTGGATTGGCCCAGATCCTTTTGAACTTTGCTGTCTTTGCTTTTCGCCGAAGCCCACAGTGGGCACTAATGGTTTGTGCTCGGTCACTAACCCAAAGATTGGTGGTTTGAACCCACTCAGAGGTGCCTGGTGATCTACTTCTGTCAAAACTACAGCCAAGAAAGCCCTCTGCAGCCTTTCTCTCTGTAACACAAGGCGCCACCAGATAGCCACTCGAGAGCAACTGGTTTTCAGCTTCACACACCGCCCTAAGCCCCAGAACAGTGGTTCTCAACCTTCCTAATGCCGTGACCCTTTAATACAGATCCTTATGTTGTGGTGACCCCCAACCATAAAATTATTTTCGTTGCTACTTCATAATTGTAATTTTGCTACTGTTATGAATCGTAATGTAAACATCTGATATGGAGGATGTATTTTCATTGTTACAAATTGAACATAATTAAAGCATCGTGATTCATCACAAAACAATATGCAATTATATATTGTGAAATATTTATTTCTAATTGCAAATAAATGAAATTTGTCTTGAAGCATGGTGCAGTATGGGTAACAGCCTTCACACCGGGTATTCGTATGTGGGTGTATCTGCATGTGGGTGGACTGCCTGGAGACAGAGGAGCAGTGTCTCGGTTCCTAAGACCATAGGAAATATGTGTTTTCTGATGGTCTTAGGCAACCCACAGGTTGAGAATCGCTGCCCTAGAACAACCCTGGGGTGTGAAGTCTGGCTTGAAGCTTCTGGAAAATCAGTGTTTACCTGTGGCCCCCACACAGAATAGACAGCAACCTATGAGGGTCAGGAAACCTGGCCAGACTCCTGACTCCATCACTGACTAGCTGAGACCTGGAGGAGTTCATGCATTCACCTTCCCTGGCCCCCCATTTCCTGAGTCTGATAAACTAGCGGCATCACAAAAGACCCTGCAGCTCTGGTCTCCAGTGCTCCGCAAGCTGAATTTCCCAGCAGCCATGCGGGCAAATGGCTTTTACTAGACAAGTGCAAGGACACTGGAGCAGGCGGTGTCGGCTAGATTGATGAAGCCATGACTGAAGTGCAGCTGTGCTCGAACTTCTTTCTCCTCCAACGGGCACAAATGCACGTAACCTTGGAGTGTCATTACTTTCTTTTTCTGCACACGGATACCCTACAGTTTTCAGCTCCGTGGGGCCATATTCTGATCCAGGTGTCAAATAACCAGTTTAGAGTTGTCTCCCCTCTCCTCACTAAGCTTTGTCATCACGTGCCCGCTTGGGACTGTTGGAGTTTCTGCCCTAATGGCTGTGGAAGACATCACCTTCCACCGGCCAGATGGCTTCTCCTAGCTCTGCGTTCGTCGGTAGCCATGTATTTTAAGGACTGGGCTGTTGTTGGCAGGGACTTGTTTCTGGCTGTGTGCACCATCTGTGGCTGGGACTTGTGCCGTACGCATCTGCTGATTCCGCGTGTGCACGCCTCTCTTGGATCTGAACTTTGAATTCTGCTTTGACTTTCATCGCGTCATTTCAGGACGGGCAACAGCACCAGAAGGATTTATGAAAATTCATTGGATGTGAGCTCATTTTATTAATGGGACTCTGAGCTCTCTCTTCACCCGGGAGAGACCTCCACAGCAGGAATTTGCCCAAAGCACTCAGACTTCAAGATAAGCTGTCCAAGTTGTTTCACAGAGGATTTCCCCTCTCACCCTGAGGTTTGGATAACAGCTTGTGTCGAAATGACTAACCGACCATCATTCTTGGGGGTCTAAACAGCGATACCACTCAGAGGCTAATACTCATGGGAATTCCTTTCCACATATTCCCTTACTATGTGTCAGTCTTGGGTGTTAGAAGGGTCATTGTTTCCCCAGTGTTGCTGGGGAATGCTGGGATACATTGGATGCATTGCTTCTGAGGAGTCTCCCTGCCTCTGTCCCCCCCCTCCCCATCACTCACCTGGGAAATCAGCCGGGGGAAGGGACAATGTGGCAGCATGGGCAAACCAAGTCAGGTCTTGGGTTTGGGGTCTCAGAAGCTCCACACAAGCAGTCTGTGTGAGGAAGGCCAGCAAGAGCAGGAGGCGATGAGGAAGATGAAGGGCTAGGGACCCTGAGTTCACCATTGGTCGAAAAGAGATCAGAGCATTGGAGCAGAGGCCATTGGTATACCTCCATCTCTCAAGGGAATTTCTGGGTGGGGCAGATGGCTAAGTGGGTGGTTCGAAGCCACCAAGAAGCGCTTTGAAAGAAAGGCCTGGCAATCTACGTGTGAAAGGTCAGCCACGGAAAGACCCTAAGACAGCAGTGCTACACAGGGTGAAACACAGGGTCTCCGTGAGTTGGACTGAGTCAATGGCGACGAGGTACGGGCTACGAAAACTCATCTGCTCAGGGAAACACAGGGAGCCAGAAAAGTCCCATGATCTGTGTTCCCAGCATGACGTAAGAGAAGACATGACGGATTGGGTCTAACAGGTGGGCCTGAAATGCCCCGTCGGGATGTCTCACTAAGAGAAAGGTCGATCCACGCAGTTGAGTTGCTTCCACAAAAAGCACCCACGCTGGTGATCAGGTACTATTGAGCCTGTTCCGACCCTCTGCGTTGACCCTACGTCCAGCAGAAGCAAACAGTGCCGACGCCACCCTCACCACCGTAGCGATGTTTCGAGCCCACGGTGGCAGCTTCTCTGTGAATGCATCGTGCTGAGGGTCTTCTTCTGTTCCTCCCGATAACAAAGCCAAAGTATGTGAGCGAGTGTCTTACCATCCTCGTCTCTCAGGAGCACGGGGGCTGTGCTCTTCTGAGACGGATCTGTTTGTTCTCTTGGCCGCCCATGACACATTCCAGATTCTTCACCAACACGACAGTTCAAGGGCATCAGTTCTTCTCGTTTCCTGATTCCTTGCCCAGGTTTTGCATTGATAATACCCACGAAGACTTTCAAGGTTAGCAGGGATGGAAGAGCAGGAGAGGGAAGGGGAAGTGATAGGCAGATGTTAAATTGGGAGCAGGGAAGATACTATCTAACAAGAGGCAACTAGTTGTGGGACAAAACCAAAGAGGGAATCTGGGCAAATCACTGGAAGTGTGATAAGTTGTAGAGTGTACAAAATTATGTAAACTCTCACCTCATCCACAATGAAAAGTCATATATATGAC